AGTGCATAATGTTTGCAGTAAATGTCCCCTGCGGCTATAACGAAATATTGATTATGATGAGCAAATTATGGTGGCCCTCCAATTTCATTATAACGAGTTTTAACTGTAAATCAGAGGACACTTCGGATTAAAACACAAGGGTTTTGAGCCGTGTTCACATTGTGAACGAAGTCACAAATTATGAAAAATGTGGCTTTTGCAGTGTTCTTATGCAGCAGCAACAAAAAAAGCTACTTTGCAGGTATACTGGTGCCATGCCTGAAGAAAGTGCGGACGTGGGCAGCCTGCTTTCTATCTTTTGTCCTGTCTTTGTTTTTCTGTATTTACGCTTTTGCTGTTGTTTTTCTCTATTTTCATTCATCTCTTCATCTTTATTTCTCTTTCTTACTCTCTATTTTTCTTCCCACTTTTTTCATTTCTCTCTTTGCTTCGCGTTTGCTTAACTTCTGACACGCACTGCATTCCCGGATGAAGGATAAGGTTTGAAGAATTTGAAGAATTTGAAAAAGCGTATCTCATTCACGAAGCAAGTAATTCTTTCAGAGCGAAACCCGCGGTCACCTTACTTGCCACGGACTTGTACTTCTCTGTAGCACCCTTGAACTCATCTTTGTTTCATCATGGCTTGTTAACAGGCACTTACTTAACCACACATATATAAGGGCAAGAGTGGGGGCTAGTTGGTTGAACATTGTTGAGACTCACACCGCGCTGGAATTAAACACACAAATAAAAGACACACTGAAGCACAGGTAGGACACACACGAGCGCGAACTAACAACTGTTTATTCGATGGAAATGTGACACACACATATATAGGTTGAAAGGAGAGAAAAAGAAGAAAAAGAAAGAGCGTGAACATGCGCACTGCCCACCAAGATAAAGCGCCCATCAGTGCTAGTCAAATCCAGCCTTGTCAACTATCTAAAATGTCTACGTAAAAAAGTATATTCATTGTTTGACAAATGAATAGATGGCACACTAACACATTTGTCCTCCCCAAACCTGCGCATCATGAAAGCTTCAATGATTTCTCTTTCCCTTTTGTCTTCTGATCTGGATAAAACAATGGTCTTTTCAAAGTTCGGCTTACAATGACACTTCATGCAATGGGTAGCTAAGTTACTGGGGTGACTGATTTGCTTGCAGTTATAATCATGCTCGCGTAAACGTGAGTTAAGGCACCTACCAGTTTGCCCAACGTACCAATTTCCGCAAGGCAAAGGAGTACCATATACAACATTTGTTTCACATGGAACAAATTTGTTAACATGCCTAACCGAACATATGTGGTTGTTCCCTTGGTTGCCGCTGTTTACTTGGTGACAAAGCGAAATTAATTTGTGAGGTGCCGTAAAGGTCATGGGTATGCCATGCCTACTTGCAATTTTTTTCAGTCCATGCGAAATGCCGTGAACGTAAGGCATAACAATAGGCCTCTCCTCTGGCTTCTCTTTTATTCCTACGTTCGTGTTGTGCGTGCTGCCGATGGTTTTTAAAAGCCTCTCGGCCAAGGCTGTGATTAAGGCATCAGGGTAATCACTGTCCCTAAGTCTATCAATCTGCTTCATCAAACTACGTGCAACCATGTGGTCACACGACTTTTGGCAGCTGTTTAACATGCACGCATATGCAACACTTCTTTTCACAAGCTTGGAGTGACCCGAGCTGTAGCTTAACAAACTTTTATCACCTCTAACGTCATATTCCCAGCACATGTGTCCCTCACCTTGCGAAATCATGATGTCTAAAAACTTTATGCCAGAACTTGTGGGCAACTCGTAAGTGAAATCAAGACCACGAAATGTTGTTTTAAACATCGCGACAAAAACTTCGGGTTTTATGTTGGCACATTTCGACCTAGGGAAACATAATAAAAAATCATCAACGTAGCGGAAACATGCCACAACGCCGTACCCTTGCAATCGGGGTTGCAATTCACGATCTCCTTTCGCCATGTACAAATTCGATAAGATCGGCGCCAAGCACGAGCCGATGCAGATACCGTCGTTCTGAACAAAAATGGATCCATTGAATTCCACGTACAATGACTGAAGGTAAAGGCGCAGCAAATCCAAAAAACTACGAACACTAATCCCACACTCGTTTTGAAATCTAACAACCCCGTAAGTGTCAATGCCTTCCTGCACCGTAGTAATGGCCTCAGTTTGTGGGATGTTGTAGTACATGTCCTTGACGTCTATAGATATGCACGTCACTGATTGTCCCTTCTTTAGGAATTCAATAATACCGTTTGAGTTGCTCACCACTTACGGGGTTGTTAGATTTCAAAACGAGTGTGGGATTAGTGTTCGTAGTTTTTTGGATTTGCTGCGCCTTTACCTTCAGTCATTGTACGTGGAATTCAATGGATCCATTTTTGTTCAGAACGACGGTATCTGCATCGGCTCGTGCTTGGCGCCGATCTTATCGAATTTGTACATGGCGAAAGGAGATCGTGAATTGCAACCCCGATTGCAAGGGTACGGCGTTGTGGCATGTTTCCGCTACGTTGATGATTTTTTATTATGTTTCCCTAGGTCGAAATGTGCCAACATAAAACCCGAAGTTTTTGTCGCGATGTTTAAAACAACATTTCGTGGTCTTGATTTCACTTACGAGTTGCCCACAAGTTCTGGCATAAAGTTTTTAGACATCATGATTTCGCAAGGTGAGGGACACATGTGCTGGGAATATGACGTTAGAGGTGATAAAAGTTTGTTAAGCTACAGCTCGGGTCACTCCAAGCTTGTGAAAAGAAGTGTTGCATATGCGTGCATGTTAAACAGCTGCCAAAAGTCGTGTGACCACATGGTTGCACGTAGTTTGATGAAGCAGATTGATAGACTTAGGGACAGTGATTACCCTGATGCCTTAATCACAGCCTTGGCCGAGAGGCTTTTAAAAACCATCGGCAGCACGCACAACACGAACGTAGGAATAAAAGAGAAGCCAGAGGAGAGGCCTATTGTTATGCCTTACGTTCACGGCATTTCGCATGGACTGAAAAAAATTGCAAGTAGGCATGGCATACCCATGACCTTTACGGCACCTCACAAATTAATTTCGCTTTGTCACCAAGTAAACAGCGGCAACCAAGGGAACAACCACATATGTTCGGTTAGGCATGTTAACAAATTTGTTCCATGTGAAACAAATGTTGTATATGGTACTCCTTTGCCTTGCGGAAATTGGTACGTTGGGCAAACTGGTAGGTGCCTTAACTCACGTTTACGCGAGCATGATTATAACTGCAAGCAAATCAGTCACCCCAGTAACTTAGCTACCCATTGCATGAAGTGTCATTGTAAGCCGAACTTTGAAAAGACCATTGTTTTATCCAGATCAGAAGACAAAAGGGAAAGAGAAATCATTGAAGCTTTCATGATGCGCAGGTTTGGGGAGGACAAATGTGTTAGTGTGCCATCTATTCATTTGTCAAACAATGAATATACTTTTTTACGTAGACATTTTAGATAGTTGACAAGGCTGGATTTGACTAGCACTGATGGGCGCTTTATCTTGGTGGGCAGTGCGCATGTTCACGCTCTTTCTTTTTCTTCTTTTTCTCTCCTTTCAACCTATATATGTGTGTGTCACATTTCCATCGAATAAACAGTTGTTAGTTCGCGCTCGTGTGTGTCCTACCTGTGCTTCAGTGTGTCTTTTATTTGTGTGTTTAATTCCAGCGCGGTGTGAGTCTCAACACACATATATGTTTTCATTTTTCAATAAATTCTCAATCGATAGCTTGCACCTTGTCCACGTTACATTCTCGTGAGTTATTGATCTTTTTCGCATTGCCTAACTAAGATGAAACACTGGTAAAGTGCAGACTAAAGTGCAATCTGTTTTAGTTCTCCCAACTCAGGCCCCATCAAAAACAGTTCTACACCTTAGTTGAATCATGGCAGCCAAAATAGAGAGCAGCCGCTTTTTAGTTGGTTTCCTAAGTTAGATATTGATTTTTTAAAGATGAGGACATCACGCGATTAGTCCATAAAGTGTTTCCTATTTGGCTCCAGCCTGCACCTACGTCACCTGTGATATAAATTTCAGGTCAAGCAAGCCCCAGTAAAGGCATGGCAGCGTGGTATAATGTTCTAGAGCCCCTACTGAGCAGCAGTTTTCTTTGCAATATTCAAGTGCAAGGTGTGGAAGCGTTGCATAAGTGGCCCGCAACGCGAAAAGCCTACAGTTCACGGTCGTGAAATACGAAAAAAATAAGCCTTTTCAGTAGAAAACTAGGAAAAATATGCTATGAAATATTATATGTAATTACATGACTGCTGCATTGAATGAAAATTTTTCCTCAGTTCGTTTTCTTAGTGGGCGGCCGACAATTACCACTGCCAAAACTTAGGGGGGGGGGAGGGGGGCTCAGCCCCCTACTATTCTCAGGGGGGGGGGGGCAGCACCTTTCTTGTCTCCCACCTCCCGGGTGATATACCTATGGTACAAGATACCCGTAAGCTACAGCATGTTGTACGTTGGACAAACGAGACGTATTAATCACAGATGAAAGGAGGAGCATGCTGACAGCATAGGTAAGGAAGATTATGTGCATCTTTCTGCACTAATGCCTGCGAACGAGAATTATGCCTCGTGCAAGCTCAGATTATCTACACAAACAGCAAATAAATGGCTAGAAAGTTGTTCAGAGCATTCTTAGGAAATGTCTGATTGTGTCAGTGACAGATCTACAAGTTTGTATTCAATGAAAATGCGCTTCCTCGATAATATGTTGTCTTGGCTATGTCGCTGCACGTCATGTCTTGGCTATTCATGCATGCGTGGGAACGTCTTTTTTCGTGTACACGTCCAAGGCTGTCATTAAGCAGTTGGTAGTTCAGCACTTCACTGTATTCTCTCCGTTTACCTTTTTTATGACATATGTATTCTGCGCCACAGCCAAGTGTGCTTAAGCAATGTGCTTCCTTGGCTAGTTAGGTCATAATTTCTTGCAAGTGAGCTGTGTTTTTTCACCGATTTGCGTGCAGAGTCCTTCTCTGGAGCGGCTGCTGTGTGGGCTGCCTACAGTTGTGAAATCTGCCCCAAGCAGCAAGTTGGTGCCTTTCCTGGAGCTGGCCGCTGACCGTGCCTTTAAGCCAGGGGGTCTAACAATTCTCCAGGTGCATGAAGCATGCACAGAGATGATAAAAACATTTTAATATGCAAATTAAAAAAAAAGTACACGGTTCCTAATCCGGGACACCTAGAGTTTAGTAAAAGTGTCACACCAGCTTTTGTCTTGCCACATTTATTTGAATATAGGTCCACCTTTTTCTTCTTCAGTAAGTATTACCAATAATTAGCTATCGATCTTCGTGTTCCTGAGCAAAGTCAGTAAATGTACCAAGATCAGAGTTTGCCTGCCATTTTAGGGGCAAGACTTCTCAAGGCATAGGATTGTCCGCCGTAGTAGTTGTCTGTCGTTACCACCCCCAGTGTGCGATGTGTCCACCAGTGACGATTACGACCGATCCAAGAACTGTTATCCCTCCACTTCACGGATCATAAAGCTGTCATTATGAAGAGGCAACGGAAGACATGTCTAGCTACCACTTATGAATAAAATGAAAGTTTACCTTACCTTACGTAACAATATATATATACCTATACACACCGTGTTCGTCACGTCTTTGATGATGTACTAAAAGAGATATTAACAATCTAGAGAAAATCCAAAGGTTAGCCGTCCACTTTATATTCAACCGATTTCGCCGATCTGGTTCCCCAACTGAACTAATGCGTGATAACAAAATTCAAACTCTAGAATGTCGCAGGAAAACTGCAAGACTAAAACTTATTTTCTATCTATCCACCAAGAAAAGTGTACTTGAGCTATCAAATATTCTTTCTTCGTTATCTTCGCGTCCAACTAGACGATATCATTCACAAAACTTCACTCTTATCTTTAATCGAACTAACAATTTCAAATACTCTTTCTTTCCTCGCACATTAACAGAATGGAACAAACTACCACATCACATTTTTGAATCTGGAAACGTGTTAAGGTGTATTGAAACTTTTTTTGAAGTAACATAGATCTTGTACCATAATGTGTTGTATATTTACCTGTTAGTTTGTGCCTCCTGTATTGTTGCTTTTTTTGGTCATATTTTCATATTGTACCGACCCCACTCCTGTCTGGGCTATTCTTAGCCTGCAGTATATTCTAAATAAATGAATAAATAAATAAATGTACTGGGCAAGATTCACGGAAGATACACGGTTCACCAATAAACCTCCCGAGCTTCGCCCACTTATTATCATTAACTTAGTGGATATTGCCACGTGCCACTCCTCAAGCTTTGCTATCGCCCCAATACACTACACAATTCTCAGCGCAAACTGCGCCTGCAGTTTTCGAGAAGCGTCCGGACTTTAGTAGATCATTTCGATAAGATCATGCCCACTCCGCGAACTGTACAGATTATTCTGGAACACTCGTCACCGCCAGCGATATCGCTAGAACATTCAATGACAAGAGTATAAATGCCGACGCACTTCGTCGCTTGTCAGTAGTTGATCGACGGCCGACGCTCCGTTCGCCGCTATCAGTCCAAGACTGCTACTGTAATCGGACTTTCCGTTTACCGGGCACAGGTTCGCCCAAATAAACAGTTCAATTCTAACGCAAAGTCTCCTGTCTTCGGCCACGTCACGACCCCGTGACGTCTGGTGGAGGTGCTGCTTTTTCGATGTTCCGGACCGAACACTGCCCCATCGCACTTCCGTCTGGTGACGGAAGTGCGATGGGGCAGTGTTTTGGCGTGCGCATGGAGGAGGGGCGTGGTGGCGGGCTGCAGCAAGATAGCTCATGGCTTGCAGCTGAGGCTCTTGAGGCTGAGAAACGCCCAGCGATTGCTGGATCTCCTGGCATACGACGTCCGCGATGCATTCCACGTGAGGCTGCGCTGAAGGAAGTAATTTTCGCAGCTCTTCTTGCGCGATCGCTTAGATCGTCTCATGAAAGTCGGTGGTTCCAAGCGCTTGAATGCCGGTGTAGCTTATAGACGAGAAGCTACGGTTATATTGCCGCGTGCGCATCTCGAGCGTCTTCTCTATCTTAGACGCTTCTGAAATGAATTTGGCGACCGTCTTTGGCGGGTTTCTCAGCAGACGGACCCCTTTCTCCTCGGACATGTCGTAGTCAGTGTGGCGGAAAAGCTTAATCATATCTTCCGTGAATAGCGCCACGTTTTCGTTTGGCATCTGCATGCGGGTTTCGAGAAGAGCTGCGGCGACCTTCTTCTTGCGCACCACACTTGCAAAAGTAGTGAGGAACCTGGTGCGAAAGACGTCCCATGTTGTAAGGCTTCACTCTTGATTCTCGAACCAGGTCCGAGCAGCATCTTCTAAGGCGAAATACACATTACCTTATTACCGGTCGAACCTTAATTTTGATCCAGCTTTCCAGGTCTTCCAGTTGCGAACCGCGAAAGTTGGCGGCTCTTTGGGTTGCCGGAGCAGGAGTGGTGCAGGCTGCACGGGGCGGTCATGGTTGCAGTAGTTGATGTCGGGATCCGGGTCTGCCTGGCTCCTTCAGGAAGGGGCCTGTACTCTGGTTGTAGTCCCCTCTGCCTGCGGCTTGTTCGCTGTTCAGGGTTAGCATCCGTGTCTTCTTTGCCGCTTGGGCTGGGGTCGCGGCGTGAAGGGGGCGTCCGTATCGACGGCCACAGTGTGACCGCTCTCGTCGATACTGGAGCCGACTATTCTGTCATCAGTGGGTCGTTCGCCGCGAAGTTAAAGAAAGTTAGGACAGCTTGGAAAGGCCCTGAAATCTGCACAGCGAGAGTCACCATTAACGGCCGTATTTATCCAACAGACTTCGTAGTCTTACAGCGTTGCTCGAGAGATGTCATCCTTGGCATGGACTTCTTATGCCTCCATGGTGCTGTCATCAACCTAAGAACAAAGTCGATAACGTTATCCACAGAAGGAGCACTACCGCCGTGCACGCCGTCAATAAACCATGCCTTGAATGTGTTAAAAGAACAAGTTACCATTCCGCCTCGCTCCAGCGTCATTATTTCAGTCGGCGCCCCTAAATCACCTGACTTGGAAGGCGTCATTGGAGGCAGTCAGCATCTGTTGGTCACCCTCAATATTTGCGTCGGAAGAGAAATTGCAGAGCTGCGGGGAGGCAAAGCAACGGTTATCATCACAAATTTCAGCAATCAATACAAACATGTGAACAAAGGAACGACGGTCACATACATCAAATAAATCATAGAAGCCACCAGTGCTTTCGCCCTCGCCGATTCTGCGGAACCTGCTCAGAGAAACCAAGCCCCTCCCACAGCTTTCGAAGTCGATCCCAGACTTCCGAACCATAAGCACGAACAGCTCAAGGCCCTGCTCCTGCAATACGAAGATTGCTTTTCATCGTCATCGAAAATTCGGCAGACCCCAATCACGAAACATCGCATCATAATCGAAGAAAATGCCAAACCACTCCATCAGAGTCCGTACAGGGTTTCGACGCGAGATTGTGGGGCCATGAAAAGACAAGTTGATGAAATGCTGCGGGATGACATCATCCAGCCGTCCAAGAGTCCATGGGCGTCCCCTGTGGTGTTAGTGAAGAAAAAGGATGGGACCCTACGTTTCTGCGTCGATTATTGCCGCCGGAACGAAATCACAAGAAAGTACGTGTATCCTCTCCCACGAATAGATGTCGCATTCGATCGGCTCCATAACGCCAAGTACTTTTCGTCAATGGACCTGAAGACTGGCTATTGGCAAATTGAAGTCGACGAAAGAGACCGAGAGAAGACGGCGTTTATAACACCGGACGGCCTCTTTGAGTTTAAGGTGATGCCCTTCGGTCTTTGCTTAGCGCCTGCAACTTTTCAACGCGTTATGAATACGGTACTGGCAGGATTGAAGTGGCAGGCTTGCCTTGTGTACTTGGATATCGTCGTCGTGTTTTCCCCGAGTTTCGAGGAGTTCTTTGGCGCCTTGAACCTGTACTTCAAGCCATCAAGACGTCCGGACTCTCACTGAAGCCAGAAAAGTGCAAATTTGCGTACGAGGAGCTCTTGTTCCTGGGGCACATGATTAAGAAGTCTGGAGTTCGTCCCGATCTACGCAAAATAGCCGCCATCGCCGACTTCCCGCCACCCGCTGACAAGAAGGGGGTGCGCCGATTTCTGGGCCTGTGTGCCTATTATAGGCGGTTCGTGAAAAACTTCGCCCGCATCGCCAATCCACTCACTAACCTTACCAAGGCCGACGTAGAGTTCAAGTGGGAAACGCCTCAGGAACACGCTTTTTAGGAGCTTAAACGTCGCCTCCAGACGCCTCCGTTACTTGCCAATTTCGACGAATTCGCCGAGACAGAAATACACACTGATGCAAGCAGCGTAGGTCTCGGCGCCGTTCTTGTGCAGAGGGCTGACGGACTCGAAAGGGTTATTAGTTACGCCAGCCGATCGCTATCTCAAGCAGAAGCCAGTTATTCCACAACAGAAAAAGAATGCCTCACCATCATCTGGGCTACATCGAAATTTCGCCCCTACCTGTACGGCAGGCCCTTCAAAGCTGTGAACGACCACCACGCCTTGCGTTGGCTAGCTACCTTGAAGGACCCTTCAGGTCGTCTCGCACAATGGAGCCTGAGACTTGAAGAATATAACATTACTGTCGTTTACAAGTCCGGCAAGAAACCCTTCGACGCCGACTGTCTCTCTCGTGCGCCTGTCAACCAAAAACCACCCCACAACCTCGATGACAACTACTTCTTGGGAACGATAACTACCGACGACTTCGCTGAACGACAGCGGGCCAAACCGGAACTTAAGGCCCTAATAGAATACCTCGAAGGCAGGACCGCCGAAGTCCCGAAGGTATTCAAGCGCGCACTTGCGTCGTTCCTCCTGCGAAACGGTCTTCTACAAAAGAAAAACTTTTCACCGCTTCGAGCTAGGTACCTCCTTGTGGTGCCTTCAGCTCTGCGACCAGAACTCCTGCGGGCTCTGCATGACGATCCGACGGCAGGGCACCTCGGTGTTTCTTGCACGCTCGCAAGGATACAAGAAAGGTACTACTGGCCACGTCTTACCACTGACGTCACTCGTTATGTGAGGCTATGCCGGAACTGTCAGTGACGCAAGACACCGCCGACAAGACAAGCGGGACTTCTGCAGGCTATTGAACCACCTTGCCGACCGTTCCAGCAGATTGGTATGGACCTACTGGGGCCGTTCCCGACGTCGGCTTTTGGAAATAAGTAGATCGTGGTAGCTACCGACTACCTCACCCGCAACGCCGAGACAAAAGCCCTTCCCAAAGGTAGTGCATCCGAGGTAGCTAAGTTCTTCGTCGAAAGTATCGTCCTACGTGCTGGCGCCCCGGAGGTCCTTATCACCGACAGAGGAACGGCATTTACTGCCGACTTAACTCAAGCGATCTTGGCATACAGCCAGACTAATCACCGCCGGACGATAGCGTACCACCCACAGACCAACGGCCTCACCGAGCGGCTTAACAAGACGATCGCCGACATGCTGGCAATGTACGTCGATGTCGAACACAAGACGTGGGACGCCATTCTTCCGTACGTGACCTTCGCATATAACACGGCGGTGCAGGAGACGATGCAGATATCTCCATGCGAATTGGTCTACGGAAGGAGCCCGGCAATGACGCTAGATGCCATGTTACCCAACGTCACCAACGAAGAAAACGTCGATGTGAGTGAGTACCTTCAACGCCCCGAAGAAGCCCGACAACTCGCGCGTTTCCGCATCAAGAATCAACAGGCGAACGACAGCCGCCGTTACAATCTTCGACGACGCTTTGTGGAATACCAACCCGGTGAACGTGTTTGGATGTGGACGCCAATACGCCGACCTGGACTCAGTGAAAAGCTTCTGCGACGGTACTTCGGACCAGACAGGGTGGTTTGGCGTCTCGGCCCACTTGATTACGTGGTTGTCCCCGACGGCATCACGAACTCTCAACGATGCTGATCGCGACCTGAAGTCGTCCATGTCGCGTGCCTCAAGCCTTTTCATGCGCGTTAACAAACTGAAACAGGGTTTTTTGTATTATTGCTGTATCGTAGTTTATTCATTCTACTTTCTTGCATAATTGTTGTACCTTCATCTTTAGGTAAAGCATCGGGACGATGCCTTTTTCAGAGGGGGGCAATGCCACGTGCCATTCCTCAAGCTTTGTTATTGCCCCAATACACTACACAATTCTCAGCGCAAACCGCACCTGCAGTTTTCGAGAAGCTTCGGGACTGTAGTAGATCATTTTGATAAGATCATGCCCACTCCGCGAACTGTACAGATTATTCTGGAACACTCGTCACCACCAGCGATAACGCTAGAATATTCGATGGCAAGAGTATAAATGCCGACGCACTTCGTCGCTTGTCAGTAGTTGATCGACGGCCGATGCTCCGTTTGCTGCTATCAGTCCAAGACTGCTACTGTAATCGGACTTACTGTTTACCGGGCACAGGTTCGCCCAAATAAACAGTTAAATTCCAACGCAAAGTCTCCTGTCTTCGGCCGCGTCACGTCCCCGTGACAATATGCTGGGATTTTTTTCAAAGAACACCAGCTACACTGGTAAAATACATATGTTTATTTGCAGTAAGCTTATACACTGCAGAAATAAATTGCAAAAATGGCATTACAAGTATAGTGAGCTAATAGTTGGTATGCGTCAATGTTAAAAGACTGGACATGCAACACAGACACAAGAGAGAAGTTAAAGCACCACAACCGCCGACTAACTATTAAAAAGATGCAGCATGGCTGAAAAGCATTCAAGTAGAACCCTTTGCAGACCACCATGAATGCTGCCTACAGTTCAGACGTACCCACCATAGCTGAAGAAACACTTGTCACTTGTGTACAATCGCGTTCAACCTGTGATTTAGGAGCCACGAAGGCGTAACGATTTTGAGTCTTTGATCAATGAGATATCTATGCTAGCAGTAGTGCAGTGAACACAGATAGAAACCTTTTTGTAGTGGGAGCAGCGGGAATTTCGAACATATGTTCATTAACAAAAGAGGGTGTTTTATTAAGTACATTTGCCTATGTACATTTGCTTGCAAATGGCTCGGTTTGCACTACCCGGTTAGGACCAGGGCTGCGATGAGAGTGCTGGTGTTTTTCGCAGCACCACCACAGCAGAGTCATTCGCGACCTACTTATTTAGCGGCCACTCACAGAGGTGACATTAACGGCGGCACAGTGCAGCACGTGGCCCCTACATTAGGCCTACTGAGCACAACTGAGCACGTCTGAAGATGCTATCAGAAGGATTGCCAGCATGCAATTAAAGAGCCCCTGACACCAATTTGGAAATTTGATATGCTTGTGTGTTTTTAGGGACTTACACTTACAAGGGATGCTTGTGTTGTTTTAGGGCCCTACATGTAGGGCACTTCTGACCTATTATGTGACAAGCGCTGTTGCCTATTAGATATGGTAATTCAGTTTTGAAGTAGTGTTAAGTGCCCATATGAGTTATCAGCACAATTTGCCTGACATCTTATCTGGTTCAATGTAGACAGAGGTCCTGCGTGACATTTTGCAAATATTGTCAATATCTGAAAACATTTGCTGGGCACGCACAAATAAAACCCAGCCGGAAACCAGCGAGAATGATTTTTCGTCACCCTATAGCTCTTGTTTCGAACTTGTTGTCAGGCTGCTTAAGCCAGGTATACTTTTCTTAGAGGAACACACTCAAAGCACCCCCATTGTTTCATTCGTACGATAGTATGTGGGACAAACTCAGTCATAAGAGCTATAATGGCATCGACGCTGGTGTTTCCCTCGACACTAGACTTCGTTTGGACTTCAAGTTCTGTCAAACTTCTGCCAAGCTTGCACTTGGCATAAGGCTCTGCTAGATGGAAGGAAAAGGCTGCACTGCAAAGTTGAAGACGAAAAACTGGACTGACACAGGGAAAGCGCTTTCTCTGTGCCAGTACAGTTTTTCGTCCTCAACTTTGCAGTGCAGTCTTTTTCTGCAGTATGTTCCAACTAGCTCCCTCACAAGCTTTTCTGCTAGATGGAGCGGAAGAAGTTTCGCAAGTTTGTCATGGCCCTGTTTGGGAGCGAAATGTCTGAGAGGAGTCGACTCGAGAGAGTTGTGAGGGACGAATTTATAGTGCTGGCGCATTTTAGTGGCATTGGTCTCTACAAGAAGAATCGTTCTTTTTTATGTGCAAATTTCATCACATTCATGGTTCAGCATCTTTCTTAAATAAACATTGCAATGACATCTTTTTTAAATAAGCACATTACAACATTAAAACTCCTTTTTCTCAAAACTCAAGTTTTGCTATTTTTTTTAATATGCCTCTTCTTTTCTAGTATCTCTGGTGCTCAGATCTGCATCAAATTTTGCCCAATTTTTTTTTTCAAGTATGAGCAATGCAGTTAACTTGTTTAAGTCTCAAGATTTTTAATATTTAATACATAAATTTTATATGAATATTTACTGGGGTAAAGAAATAAGGATTTCTCACATTACAATTTTTCACATCTAGTATTACATATTTTATATGCACTTCCTCATTAGTTTTCTACATCTACACTTTATTTGAAACATTATGAACTATCAATAGTAAAAAAATTATGGAAGCTTAGTGATAAAAATGAGGAGAGGGGCAAACAGCTTAAGATTTTCACTTTGTCATGTGGCAGAACTAAAAGTATATAACTTGCAAAAAAAACAAATTATATATTTAAAATCAGCATTAAATGTACTATAAACATCTCAAGCTTCATTGCTGCTGGGTGAACTTTCAAAAAGAATCTGTCTTGCATATTAATTCATGACTTTCAGGGGTAAAAAGGCTTTATTAATAAAGCTGTCATTTCTAATTAAGTACACCTCGTTGACACATGCAGGGTGTTGAGACAGTCTTGGGTGACCATGGCTCTGAGCTGCCCCCTGGTGCCAGGGGTGCCCTATGTGAGCTGCTTACAGCAGTGGCACGAAGATGCCAGGATGATGTGTGGGATGCCCAGGAAAGGGCTCTGCTGCCTGCACTGGGGTGCTGCGCAGTGCGACTCACACCGGACTCCAGGGTGGCTCTGCTGGATGCTCTCACAAACTTGCCTCTGCTCCTTGCCCTGCAGTGCCACCTAGCCGCGGCAGGGAAAGCACCATCTGGATGCAACATTTTCTCTATGGCCACCAGTCTCAGTGGGGAAAGGTGAGCATGCAGTTTCAAAGTAGGGAATGTCACGCATAGTCGAAAGAAGTGAGGCCCACACTCACTGTGAACACAAAACACCTGTTTATTGCCTTCCAGAAATAGCTCCAGCCCTGTTCTCATCACTCTGTTTTCCTCTCGCAGCAGTAGGGGGTGCTAGTAGCTGGTGCCACTACGGTAGGTGCAGCACAGCAGTATATATTGTCGCACTCCTCCCCCTTTAGTTCTTGTATTTGAGAATACCAGTTCACAAGAGGTCTTGTTCGGCCACTTTTTTGCAGTGGAAGTTAGAGATAAATTAAATAACTAAATAAAAATTGAAAGTGTTGCCAGGTTCGGCAAACTGGGCTACAGAAAAAAATATTGGTATTAACTTGAGTGAGTTGGTAATGTGGCTATATTTTGGCTACTAAAAATTGCCGATTCGGCTTTGTGTGGCTTTAACGCTGTGTTGATCAACTCTCCATAGGTGGCTTTCACTGATAATTGTGCTAGATTATTACGATCAGACTGACATTAATCACCAAATTATTGATGTTCTCCCACAAAAATGAGGGAAAGTGCAAATGAAATTTTTAAACGTATACAGTCCTCCCAAAAACAGGTATGACGACTTTGCCCCACTTTTAAACAAGGCAGCTCGAGCCGTTGACACTAGAGATCAATTAGTGGTGGTGGGCGGCTTGAATACTCCAAGCACCGTTTGGGGCTACGTCCGGGATACACCCAAGAGCGTGTTATTAGAGAACACCACGTCCAAATTAGGTTTTACCTCTGTTACTCTGCCAACAGCACCCACCAGGCTCAGTAATAGCACTAACAGGGACACGTACCCGATTTGACCTTCACCTTGAACATTAAAAATGCCACATGGTCAAACCTCGATAAAATTCTTGGTAGTGACCATTATATTCTTAGCACCTTTATAGCGTCACCAAAGGTCCGTCGTGTAGCTGGTGATGTTGTGATGACAGACTGGGTGACCTTTCAAAAGGGCCCTCTGCTGGAGCAAACGCCCTGTGATGTCAGTGGGTGGGTTGCTTTCACTCGCGAAATGCATGATACAGTGAAACCTCGTTAAACCGTAGTTGGCCGGAGCTCGAAAAAAGTACGTACTAAACATTAGTACTGCCGAACCGAAATAGCGTCAGGTCGCTCACTCACCTGTCAAAAAAAGAAACCTTCAGGGAGAGCAATGAAAGAACAAAAAAACGTGCAGTAATATATTAACTTCGCGTGACAAAGTCTGTAATCTTCATTTGACGACACGGAGGCCTAGCAGCAACGACAGCGACCTCAAACTCACTTATGCTGAAAGCCAGCTTTTCCGCCAGCCCCCTCTTCTCGGCAAATACCCGCATGACGCTGACTTAATGCGCAGCTTCGGCCACTGTCGGACCTGAATCACCCGTGTTGTCGCTTTTCATGTCGTCCTCATCACTATCATTTGGTGACACTTCGACAACCGAGGCAACAATGGCTTCGTCGGACATGGCCAGAGATGTCTGCACATCGCTGTCTGCGTCTCTGAAGTCGGGGAAGGAAATGCCTTCCGTAACGCCCTACCGCTCCAGCACTTCAGCCAGCAGAGTTCTGCAAGCTTTGTCTACGATGTCCGAATTTTTTTTATGCCACTTTCAATAGCACGAATTATGTCCAACTTCTCCTCTATTTTCAGCACTCGATGCTTTTGTCCCAGCTTCGGCATGACGCAAGTACGAAGCAGCACAAGCACACATACACAACACGTGAAAAACGACGTGAGAGCTGTACGGCACGGATCAACCAGAGAACACCTATGCTCGGCGCCAAAGGAACAAATAAAGCAAAGCAAGCACACACCGTGTTTGCGTGTTTGTGCAAAGCACCATCGCGTGAACAACGCCAGAAGCCTAGCGGGCCAAGTGCTTCTTGTTGCAGAAAAATCCAAGAGATGGCGCTCACCAACACATCCTAGTAATACATCAACAGGCCCAGATGGCATTCCAATTATGCTGATAAAGACATTAGGTTCGAAGTCTAAGCAGGCTTTGAGAGAGGTAGTGAACAAAATAATAACCGATGGAGAAATTCCCGATGGATGGAAACTTAGCAGGATGAGCATGATCTATAAAGGAAAGGGGGACAAAGCTGACATAAACAACTACCGTCCTATAACAGTGACATCAGTGGTCTACAGGCTGGCGATGCAGATTATAAAGAAAAGACTACAGGCATGGATAGAGGATGAGGGGGTGCTGGGAGAACTGCAGAATGGGTTTCGGAAACACAGGAGGTTGGAAGACAATCTGTTCTTACTAACGCAGTGCATCAAAATAGCAGAAAAGGAACACAGGCCCCTGTGGCTGGCATTTGTGGATATCAAGGGAGCGTACGATAGCGTGGTTCAAGAGGAATTGTGTGGAATACTGGACACACTAGGCGTGGAAGATGTAGTCACTAATCTTTTAAAGGATATCTATAAAGGTAACAAGGTAATTATAAAGTGGGAAAAACAGGTATCCAAGCCTGCAGAGGTAAAACGGGGGCTTAGGCAGGGGTGTCCCCTGTCACCCTTATTATTCATGATGTACCTACAAGGATTAGAGGCCAAATCAGAGGGAAGTAGACTGGGTTTCAACCTCTCTTTCGTGAAACAAGGAAAACTCATCGAACAGGCACTACCAGCATTGATGTACGCAGATGATATAGTGCTAATGGCCGACAACAAGGAAGACTTGCAGAGATTGGTGGACATCTGCGGTAATGAGAGAGATAGGTTAGATTTCATATTCAGTAAGGAAAAATCAGCAGTCATGATTTTTAATGACAGTGAAGGTAGTGAGCTTAGAATACAGGAGTTCTCGCTAGAGATAACAGATAAATACAAATATCTGGGCGTATGGATAAGCAATGGGGCCGAACACCTAAGGAAACACGAAACATACGTGACGACTAAAGGTAACAGGAATGCAGCGGTAATGAAAAACAGGGCACTGTGAAATTACAATAGGTATGATGTTATGAGAGGAATATGGAAAGGGGTCATGGTTCCTGGTCCGATGTTCGGCAATGCAGTCTTGTGCATGAGATCAGAAGTTCAAGCAAGATTAGAAATTAAGCAACGTGGAATAGGTAGGCTTGCCTTAGGAGCTCACAGGAATACACCAAATCAGGAAGTACAAGGCGATATGGGATGGACATCATTTGAGGGCAAGGAAGCTAGCAGCAAGATAAAATTTGAGAAGTGATTGAGAGAAATGGGGGAGGAGTGTTGGGCTAGGAAGGTATTCAGCTACTTGTACATGAAAAATGTCGATACAAAATGAAGGAAGCAAACCAGAAAATTGACTGGTAAATACTTAGAAAACAGCAGTGGGCCAAACCAAAAATAATTATCGGTTAAAAAGAAGGTGAAGGAAACGGAGACTGTCATGTGGAAAATGGGCATGATTAAGAAGTCCGCACTAGAGATCTATCGAACTTTTAAGCAGGAAATTGCCAAGGAAAGGATCTATGATAATACTCGGGGTAGTTCTCTACTGTTTGAGGCCAGAACGGGAGTATTGCGAACCAAGACATATCGGACCAAATACGAAGGGGTAGACACGGTATGCAGTGCGTGTGGAGAGGAAGAAGAAACTGCCGAACATTTGATAATGTTTTGTAAAGGGCTTCACCCTGTAGTTCAGGATGATGGTGCAGAGTTTTTCAAAGCACTGGGGTTCAGGGACAGGGAGGGCAAAATAGACTTTTAAGCGGGTAGAATTAACTAGGAGGAGGTCATCTGATTGGTGGCTGAAGTCAAGGCACGAGTGAAAATTAAACCTTCAAAGTATGAATCCTGAACCTCACTATTTAAAGGAATAAAATATAAATCTAGTTTCTGGTTAATTAAGTATTACAGCTTGGTGGCGCTAGCCGCTGCCCGATCTAAAGGGTACAGCCATATCCATCCATCCATCCTTCCATCCATCATCATCAACACAAACAAGCGATGCGTGTTTCGATCTCTGGGGCTTACTCTTCTGTTGGGATGCCCAGTGGGGGACGACATGCCACAGCGAATGCGGAATGAAAATTGGGAAACTACTTATTAACCGGTACATACGCGATAAGCTGGTACGGCTTATGTGGATACAGAATGCATTATGTTCAATGGCCACCGAGTCGGGGATTTTACTTCACTACATTTAAAACGAAACTACTGTTTACCCGGGTACGGTTTAACGAGGTTTCACTGTACCACCTCTAAGAAAATAATGCGCACGATTGAGGCGCCTGCGATAGACCTGCACCTATTGTGCATGTGGAATAGTAGGTGACACCTGGTCAAGAGGTAGAAAAAACAATGCCTAAACCGCTGCCTCTACCGGCGAATCGCTGCTCTGTCGGAGGACAGAGCAGGTGGACAGAACGTGTCGCTAGTGGTCAAAACGCGTCAGTTCCCATGAACTGTGTTGCAGTTCCTTATCTGCATAACGTGTCGCAGCGGCTGAAAAAAATCGGTAGACGCGCTGGTGTCTCTGTTGTATTTTCTGCCCCAGAAAAGCTTTCAAAGCTTTGTAAGCTGGTGAATAATCCAGCTGCTATTAGAGGAAGATGCATTGTGAAACACAGAACGCGCTTTGTACCTTGTATTTTAGGGGTCATATATCGTATTTCGCTATTGTGCGGAATGGTATACATAGGGCAAACCAGAAGGTGCCTTAATGACCGTTTAAGAGAGCACAATAATAATGTGCACAATGTAGTTCAAGGACACCTCGGAACCCACTGCCGAGATTGCGGCTGTGTGCCAGTTTTTGAGCGTTGCGAGGTATTAAGCAAGCACAACCCGCAGGCCACACGTGAGATAATTGAAGCTTATCAAATAAATAAGTTTGACGGTAAATGTGTAAATTGCCAATCGGTTGCATTGTTGCAAAAAGAGATTGCGTACCTCGATCTTTTTTAAGCTACATGTGTATTTCTTTCAGCTCGTTCAAGAAGAGACAAAAGTTATGCTGGCATTGTATTGC